GTAACTGTAATGCCTGCCTTCATTTTGTAAAGTGCTGTGCAAACTGTTGGCACTATATAAATCCTGTATTATAATAATAATAATTTTACCCACATTCTCCATCATTCATAGCCAAATGGGAAAGAGAGTTGATTAGATCTCTTGAGGACTCAGACGGGGACAAAATACTTGCTCTTTCCTATAAAACCTCGATATCCTCAGTTGCCTAGGAACTTAATTATAAGCTACTGTCTATGGTATCATTTGACCATCTTATATAAGATAAACCCGACTGAGCCAGATACTTGTTGGCGGGGTAAGCAGGCCCCGGGTACACTATCCCATATCTGGGGCACTTGTCCACAGATAATCCCCTTCTGGGTCAAGATCTTACAGCTTTATAAAGAATTGATGGGGGATTACTAACATACCCCAAATCACTATACTGTCCTTGCATAGTTAATCTGGCTGCAAAAAGACACAAGTCTATCCAGTTCAACCAACACCCCCACTCTTATACTGTAAACAGATAAAAAAAAAATTTAGACATTTTCTTACAGCGGCTAGAGTCAGTGATAGCAAGATACTGGCACAGGACTAATCCCCCCTCCCTGGCTGAGTGGGCATGTGAGCTGAAGAATATCAACAATACGGGATGTAGGATCGCTTGGGATGAGGGTAAAATGGAAGCACATTGGCTCATGTGGACTGTGTGGTCATATTTCCGATACTTAACTGAGTTTGCATCTTTTGTGTCTTGAATTTCTGGATGGCGTAGCCTACAGTGGAAGGGGGCTCCCTTCCCCTCCTTCCCCCTTTTTTTCTCATTACCCTGTTTTGTTCCCTTTTCTCTCTTCTTCCTTTTTTCCTTTCTTCTCTGTCATCATGCTTTTTAGTCATCATCTACCTAAGTGCAGTCACTACCACATTATGCTACTACAGATTACTTTGGATATACCACTAATGTTTGTTGAACCAGTGGGGTATTCCACTTGGAACTAGAATGCCTGCACAGTTATTCTATATTACTGCACTGCTGTTTTGTAACGGGCTGTGTCAATTGTGTATGTATATTGGCCCGATTGTTCTTAACTGTTTTGTTCACTGGTTATATAATTTTGTTTTGCCCTGTACTAATGTATATGTACAACCTGTACTTAGTGCTGTCTTTCTTTCTTTCTGGTTTCCATGTACCATGTAATCTTGTGAAAATCTAACAAATTTAGATTAAAATAATTATATAACAAAAAATAAATAAATACACACACATATATATATATATATATATATATATATATATATATATTTCTAAATAAACCATTTCCATCAAAAAACATATTTAACTGCTTATTTTTAATCCTGATGTGTATGACATGCTTACTTATATTACCCTTCGGCCAGTGAAAGGCCCTAACTTCTACATGACTATAAACTCATCAGTTCGCAAGAAAGTTCCTTGACACAAGGCCAGTAGTGCTACATCATTATTCATTAAATATCAGTGATAAAATGGGAGGGAGACTGAACCTTGTGGGATTGAGGGATCTCTTTCAGCTACCCCTGAATGGTTAGCAAATTTCCAGTTGGAAACAGCTGAGACTGCATTTAAAGTATTCTTCTTTTTTATTATAACTTTTACTATTACAAATCTGTAAATAACACACAATCCCAGTGTAAGAAGATCTTTTTAGATTTACTACTATGTGTGCAGCTACTTGATTACATATAAATTGAAGAAATTGTTTAAGAAGGGCTTCAAACTTTGGTATTGGTAAATCTAAAGAGTGAACAGTCATATAGCACCTTGCTTTAATTATGTTGTTTGTCTGGAAGGTTTACATGGTTAACTGTGTTCTAGAAATAGACATTTCCAATAAGTTCAGCCTCTCACAATTATCAGTTTTGATCTCCAGGGTAACCCTACCAGAGCTTGTGTTCGATCAATAGTTTAAATATGGATGTGTCCTGGTGGCGATATCATGAGTACTTAATTTTCTGACCTTACTTGGGCAGCTGTATATAATGAACTGTGGCCAGGACGAGCTGAAAAGCATGTATCAAATCCATACAATATCTGCCTTTTGAGAGTATAATTTTGTTATCAGTGGTGTTTGTATGATTTGACATTACTTAAGAAAAAATAATGAAAGGTTTCCAGAATTATGGCGTGCCTTTTGTTGTTTCACAGAAACGTTTCCTTTACCTGTTAACCTGAGTGTGGCATTGAAGTGTACCCGTTTGTTCCTAACATCTACTGAAGTTATTTCAGGAATATAACCTAGTCACACGTATTTGTCTAATTTCTAGAACACCCTGGAACCTCAAAAAAACTTTTTTATTCATTCAAACTCTTGCTTCCTTATTACACAGTGAGTGGAGCTAAACGAGGAGGGCCACAGTGAAAATGAGAGGCATAGCTTCTTGCAGATTCTGCCTTTGGGATCCCAGGGTACCTCTCAAGAGGCAGAAGACACCCTTAGGTGATTTAACACGTCATCACCTGCCAAAAACTAAAATGTCTAATTTTAGATGACTGTTTAACGATGTAGCTGTGTTCACCTGGAATAGCAGAGCCAAGAATGAAAGTACGCTACAAACAATTAGTGCTGATCACTGAAAATCACTTTAGAATGGCATATTTTTTTTTTTTTCCTCTCCTGCAATAGGGTGACATTTTCGGCTAATAAGCAACACAAAATTTTTTAATGTATTTTGCACATGTCTGGATAGGGTGTTGGCAGATTTGTGGTCATTGCAAACCTGTGGTGATGTTATGGATATTAGCAAATTAGCATGGAGGTGCTTGCCAGTTTGTTCGCCAGAGTCCTGCATAAGCTCTCTCTGCTGTGATTGTCTAATTATTTTCTAAAGCGCAATAATATGCTACTGTTTGCAATAATAATTTAGCAGACGGCAAACAGATTTTTTTTTTTATTCTTCAGTGCATTTGCCCAATTGTTCCATTTACATGAAATTTATGTTAATGCTTTCCATAATATTTTAAAGTGGAATGCAAAGTAATATGGTCATGATTGTATAGCTGTGACTGGCCTATTTAGCCTTTTAGTGGGTTTAGGTTTTCTTTGTAAATGTATGTTGAAAAATAGCATCTAGAATCAACTATCTGTTGCCTAAAATATTTCTTTGCTCTAATTATTTTGATGATGTATTTGCATTGCCATGTTAACGAGGGCATATCACGCAGTGCTAACATTGCAACCTTTAGGAAGACATCACATAACTACAGTTTGGTATATTGCTAACTTTATGGCACTCCATTACGTAAGTACGGTAGATTTCAGCAGCGTTACTCTAGCACACCACAATGCACATGCCATTAATGATGATCCACTGCATTACAAAAATGGTGTAGGGACATTTTTGACATGCATTAAGATGTGTTGGCATCCTGTTCCAAATGAATGAGTTGATGTAACACAGTGCCCTTAACACAAGCACTATATGTTAAACTATAGGTCAAGCCAGAAACATTTTTCTACTTTTTGGAAGAGTGGAATGGAGTTGAAAGTCTTGTTGGGTTTTAATTGCTATGTGGAGCACCAGTGGAGAGAGTTCCCATTGACAATGGTTTCACCAGAGCAGAAATAAGGGAAGATCTGAAGCAGAAACACAGGCAGAGATAAAAAAAATTTGATAGGGATTCTAGCCTTTCTCTACACTACTACAGAAAAGCATTTTCATTTTTGTTGCCTTCCTGACCGTTTAAATATCATCAGGAAAGAAAGAGAGGATAATCCCTCTATAGGGGCCTTGGATAGCAAAAAAACCTGACGAGTGTTCTAAACTTTCTCCACTCTATCCAAATCCAGGAAAACATGTTTGGTTGGACATACACTTTAACACACATGTAATAATGCACCACTAAAGATTTAGAAAGAGTGAACGACCCTTGTTGGAGCAGTAGAAGTGAAAGCTGAAATGCAATGTACATTTATGGTTACAAATAGCTTTCATGACATAAATGTCCTCATGTGACTTTTCAGAGCTAATCAGAGGTCTCTGGAGAACGTTGGTAAATTTCCAGAGTGTTAAGCAAGATTCTTCGAAGTACTGAATGTGACTGAATTGTGGAGGTTACAAGAAAATAACATAAAAAAAATAAATTAAATAACCAATTCTCCGTCTCCTGCTCTCCCTCCCTGAAGACATATTTTTTTATTTATCCAGAGGGTAAATGGCAGGTTCATGCATATTTGGAAAATATATAAGAAACCATAAAGCGATATAAATATTGCCTTGGCTATATGGTAGGCTGTTTCTGCGAGGTAGGCAAAAAGATTACAGTGTGTGTGTGTATATATATATATATATATATATATATATATATATACATACACACACACACTGCATATATTTAAGCAACAATGGCAGCAGTTTTACAATTTTTTTTGTGCAATCATGAAAGTGCATCCCGGCCATTTGTTGGGAACTAGTGCTATCCCTTAGGCTCAATACTCATTGCTGTACTGAAATCATAGGTAACAGTGACTTGTGGTTGTTAATGTGTCCTGTTAATGATAGACTGCCTTCGGAGGATACTTTTCCAATGCTTTTTGTTGTGAACTGGTCACACGTATAGTCTGAGGTACTGCAAGATTGCCTGGGAACTGCATCAATAATGCACTGGCGTGAAAACAGTCAGAGGCGTACCTCACTTATTAATGCTTTATTATTTTGTGGCTAACCAAGAATTCCATCTGCCAATATTCTGATGGCTATATCTGGGCATTATGTTATTTCTGCGTACAGGATTCCAGCACAGGAGGTGAATCTTTTCGCTGTCAGTTTTAGGGCTCGGAGGAGGGAATCATTCTCTATACCCCCTGTGCTAGATAACTCGTCCCTACATGACCCTTCTTCGGGAACCTGGAGTCAAGAAATAAAAAACTAGCTGTCTCCAATGACCACAGTTGTACATTTTTATTTAAACTTTAAAAAAAGAAACAAATAGCAAAAAAAAAAAAACTCCATGTTTAAAACAATGATTTGTTGTTTTCTAGGTCACTTAGGTCTTGCTGAAATGATGACTGGAGATTCTAAGCTGCCTCCTTCCCTGAAACTCGATGGTAAAGAAGATGGGCCTCCTCACCCTGAAACAAAGTCAAAGGTATTTCCTCACGCATGTGGTAGCAGTTTTGTTGGCTCGCTGCGTCGTCCATACTGTCTTCCATTATCTACTTTTTTTTCTAGTTTCTTTTTTTCTGCTGCATGTGTTCTCCATCTGTGTTGCGGGCCTGTATTTGTTTAGATGGTCTGAATCTGAAAAATACTAGTTCTAATTTCATTTTGACTTTGAGGCAAAGGAATGATCATGAGCTTGGGGATATTTTGAGCTGGTGGGGTTTGGAAGGAACTTTTTGTGCCTGGATTCTAAACTGCAGCCATTTTCCCTTCTTGCCTTCAGTTCAAGCTTCTGTTGCTGGCCGTCTAAACAGCACAATAAGTGTAACAAGTATTTTGCTCCCCCATTCCCCTTGAATGTAGGGCAAGCAGCTTTAATTTTACTTTCACCGAGGGGGCAATCCATGCTTAAGCATTTCATGTTTGCTTGAAGTAAGCATGGTGGCTTAGTAACATTAGCCAAGCATCTAAGAACTTGCCAAATATGCACTAATTGCTAGCCAATGAATTAACAGTCTTCAATTCATGCATCTTATATGCTTGTCTTTTACCCCTCCCTCTTTCCATACATGCAACATTTTTGCATTACCAGTCAACCTATTTCTTTTTTGGTAAAGTTTGCCCTTCTCTTGTCACATTTTGTTTTGTATTCTTCTACCACAGGATAGCTACAGTTCACAGGGTATATCTCAGCCCCCAACCCCAGGCAACCTGCCAGTCCCTTCCCCATTGTCCCCAAGCTCCGCTAGCATCTCCTCCTTTCATGGAGATGAAAGTGATAGCATTAACAGCCCAGGCTGGCCAAAGACTCCATCAAGCCCTGTAAGTGGCCCTGTTTTGTTATTTTATATTTGGAAATTATTCAAATTACTGTTAGCATATTTTATTTTTAAGATATATATTTTTTTCACTTTAGTATGATTGTTTGCCCTCTTTCTATTTACAGTGTTTTTTTCTGCTATTTTTCCTTTTTTTGGTAATTTGGCTAAAGTATGCTTGTACAACATAATTAATGCAGAATTTGTAACTCAGTTTGGAATATTGATAAAGATTTTAAACAATCTAAATCAAATGCCTTATGAATGCTATATATTTAGTATTTGCTGTCATTAATTGTGTTTAATGTTTAAATTAGACATAATAAATCCTTGTTATGTATTACATGTAGGAGCTGCTCTCTTAAGAATGTTAAAGGCTAAGTTCACCTTTTTACAAAAAATAATGACACATTTTTTTTGCAGGTAAAAAAATGTGCATGTATTACTTTTTGTTTCTGGAGCCTCTAAAGCAGATTGCTGGTGCCATGCAGGTCTCCTGCAGACCTGTCAGTATATCTGCTTGCCCATACGGGAAAGCAGATATACTGACAGGAAGAATCAATGAACTACCACAGCACTCCACAGCAAAGGCTGTCGGGACTAGTAGGTCATTCACACCATGAATGAATAATGCAGGTGGGTGGAGCCCCACACGGCCATGTTCTTTTTAAATTGTGACGGCTAGTGGGGAGGCTGTCACAACGGGGAGCGGGGGCGGTCTGTTCATAACATGTTACACCCTGAATAAGGGTGTAACATGTTATGAAAGGTGAACTTATCCTTTAAGTGTATCATGTAATGCTTTTATTTACTTTTACAATATTAAATATTTTCTCAGAATTAACAAAAAAGGGGGATTTCTGTGCATTTGTGACTGTGGCTCTTCTTAGCCAGTGTTGTCATGATCTAGAATGAAGTTGTCATGGATTGTCAGGGTGGTATACCCCTAACACTCCTTATGATTTTGTGGTCCTAAAAACTGGACAACTAAAGGTTGAAGAAATGGTTACATGTTTAAACATCTAGTGTAACCTTTGAGTTTGTACCCAGTACTTGGAAAACCTGGATCTGCTCTATAGAGTTGTTTTAAAGAGATGTAACTGGCAGATCTCGACCCAGAAGACATCACTTGGTGAATATGGGATAGATGAATTCCTGTTGGCATGGGATCATGTAAAATGCATAACAAAACAGATTAAAAATATATATATACATGTATTTGTGCAGTTTTAATGGATAACATAGCAACCTAGTAATATATTTCAGTGGTCTACCCAGGAATAAAAGTATCTTTTGACTTTTATGTTGATCTATATTAACATTATAATCAAAATACTTTTTATGTTGCTACTCGAAAAATAAGTCAATTGTTTATCCAAAAATGTAATAAGAATATGCAGCATAAAGTTGTTTTCCATGCACTACAACTATATTTCTGGGTATTTATTTGAATTATTTTATTCTGTACATCATTTCTTTGTCTTTTATGCTGTAAAGAATACCTTGAAAGTGACACTTTTGCTACAGTTTGAGACAAAAACGCTTTTACGTTTTAGTTAGAAACTCTTTCAGGTTGGTTTTGCTGTCTGGGAAGATTCACCCTCTCTATTTAGCTTGTTGACCATTTAAGGGGCAGAAAGTGATGGCAAATCTAAATTTTTGGGTTGGTTGCACACCTGTGTATTGTGGTAATGCAAATTCATTTAGAATGGCACCCCAACACAATCACAGTAGCTGCTAATGCACCTGCGCTACAGTGTACCACAACATACAATTACATCCATGATGCTCTGTACTCTGAGAAATTCTGCAGTGTGGTTTTGTTTTTGGGTGTGTGTGTTGAGGTATGCTACCATCCCAATCACTTTCAAAAACAAGTTCATTAACACATGCACAAGCATGAAGGGACCATTATGGTTCTTGCCGAAACAAGAGTTCAGAAGAAATCATTAAATCTTTCATGAAATCTTTTGAGATATTTTCCTCCGATTTCTGTTGTGTCCCTCAGACAAGAAAAAAATTAAAATCTCTCTGAGACAAAGACAGACTGAAAGGCATGCTATATTTTATCCAAAGCTAAATGTTTGTTGAAACGAAACATTTAGCTTTGAATAGAAAAAAGGAGACAATTCTACATTTAAGTAGTGTAGAGGTAATAATGTTAAATATTGCCCAAATTTAATCTAAAACTATTGGCTGAACTGGACTGTTAGCTGGTTCATTGCTTGTAATTATTCATACACAACAGCACAAAGATGTAAAATAAATATAGAAGATTCATTTTAGGAAGGGTTTACTTATACTTAAAGCAGAATCCAAAGAACAAAAGGTATACCGCTCAGGCAAACAATCCAGATCAATCCACAACAGGTGCAGGCTCTGGCTCGCCACCACACACGATGCAATAGGTAACGGATAATATTCAAAACGCTAACATTGACGTACAAAGCTGTTCATAACACTGCCCCAAACTACATCACCAACCTTGTCTCCAAATACCACCCAAAATGTACTCTTCGCTCCTCACAAGACCACTTGCTCTCTAGTTCCCTGGTCTCCTCCACCCATGTCCGTCTCCAGGGCTTCCCCCATCCTCTGGAACTCCCTACCCCAATCCATCAGACTATCACCTACTCTCCTCCCCTTTAGGCGCACCCTGAAAACCCATCTCTTCAGGGAAGCCTACCCCGGCCTCAGCTAATTGCTGATCTCCTCCACTCTTCCTACCACTCCATCCCCCACAGCTATTTCCTCCTGTACCACTACCCCCTCCCTCCTAGATTGTAAGCTCCAAGGAGCAGGGCCCTCGAACCCCTCATGTATCGAATTGTATTGTTACTGTACTGTCTCATGTGCTGTCTCCCATTGTAATGTATAGCGCTGAGCAAACTGTTGGCGATATATAAATACTGTATAATAATAGGAAGAAGGGTCAGCTGCACACCGGAGGATAGATGAATATAGTGCGTATTTATTGATTCATAGGACACACAAAACACCAGGAGATAAATACAGGACTTGTTAACGCGTTTCACACTATCTCGTGCTTAAAATCATAACAAAGAAAACAACAAAAGTCAACTTTTTGTTTTCTTTGTTATGATTAAGCACGAGATCCTGTGAAACGCGTTAACAAGTCCTTTATGTCCTGGTGTTTTGTGTGTCCTATGGACCAATAAATACGCACTATATTCATCTATCCTCCGGTGTGCCGCTGACCCTTCTTCCTATTATACTTAAAGCAGAACTTCACTCAAAAGTTCCACTTTTCTGCCTCCCCCCCCCCCCCAATTATTTTTGACAGGTACCCCCCTCCCACTCAGATCACCTACACAATCAGAGCAGGAGCTCAGCCCTTCTTCCTCTTTCCCTGCAGCCTTCTGGGATACGTCATAGCTCTCAGAAAGCTGAAAGACCATTCACAAAGCACAGTGTGACTCATGCATGTGCAGTAGGAAGCCGTCTTCCTATAGTAAAGATGCCGGCCTTAGGGACCTGAAGACCAGTGCAGAACCTGTTCAGTTGGGGACGGCACTGGTTTTCTGGACAGGTAAGTGTCCTTATATTTAAAGTTAGCAGCTACAGTATTTGTACCTGCTGGCTTTTAATTTTTTTTTTTTGGGGGGGGGGGGGGGGGGACTGAAGAGCCTCTTTAAGACATTAAAATATCTCATGTTCAGTAAAGTTGCCTACATATTTCTAATTATTGTCTTATCTTTAAATCCTTGATGTATAGATTGGATAGTTTTATTTATTATTGTGTAAATTTATTGTCTCTAATAGTTGAGCTGCAGAATTATCCTATTACACAACTCTTTGTGTCTGTCTGGTATTTTTACTCCCGTTTGTGTTCTCCTTGCATAGCACCCCCCTACTTTTCCTATACCTGGTAAGATGATACTTGCAAATGTGCCTATTTAGCGTTAAAGACTTTTTCAATCGTAAACAACTTGTACACTAAAGGCAACTGGTTGGCAAACTTGTTTGCAGTTTTTTTTTTTATCCTTGACCTCTCTATTTGTCCTGACCGTTGCTATAGAGATTGTGGGAAAATCCAAAATTTTGAGCTGTCACATTGATTTGGTCCTCACTTCCTAAGGCAAACTTGTGCTACAATCTGAAAAATGTTGCTAAAAACAACTGCACTGATGGAAATCAACTAATTTGGGTTTATGTATTAAAAGATTTTCTGTATGTATTCATGTCCATGCATTATAATGAAATTCTCAGTCATATGTAGTTTTTTTGTGCTACTTCCAGGTAAGGTGTCTGTATACTTTTGTTCACAATGAAGTACAGTTATGTTAATAAATCTTACACTCTTTCCACGCAATGCAGAAAGCCAATTCATCCACTTCTACTGGAGAAAAAATAACAAAGTTGTATGAATTGGGGAGCGAACCTGAACGCAAGATGTGGGTGGACAGATACCTGACTTTTATGGAAGAAAGAGGAACACCAGTTGCAACGTTGCCGGCTGTTGGTAGGAAGCCCCTAGACTTGGTCAGGCTTTACTTCTGTGTCAAAGAGATTGGCGGTCTGGCTCAGGTAATATGAAAATCAATATGTCATTCTGGTCAGTAATAACTCCAGTCCAAATTATTTATCTTGATCATAAAGTACAGGACACAAGCCTGATATTCATAGACCCTGGTTTATAGGCTGGTACCCTCAGCTGATTGGACAAAAAGCTTTTGACAACAGGTTGGGGAGATTAACTGTCAATTTTTGTTAAGGTAAAAAACATCAGTGGATGGGATGAAGAGATGTCTATAGCAAGGAAACAACAGAAATGAAAATAAATCATATACGTTACTATAGAGGGGGAATGGTAGACTCTATCTGAGTCTATCTTTGCGGTTTCCCCTTCTGCCCCAGTTACAATGTTGTCATTGGTATAGGAATTGCACGGGAATCTCCAAATAGGTCCAAAGCTGTTCTATGTGCTGCTCAATGATCATCCGTGATTCCAAGTTGTTCATAACTCCAACAAAGATCAGCGCCTGCGAGCGCTGATCAATGTGTTCTGGCAAGGGGAGTCCTCCTGTCAGAACACAAAGGAGCAGTGGGGGAGATCGCCGCACCAACATTGCTTGTGTTGGTATGGCGACCTGTCAGTTTTTTTTTTTTTTCTTCATTCAGCCTGCTAAGTTTAACAAAACAAAACTGAGTGTGTGTACCCAGCTTTACATGATTGCAGATGCGAACATTTGTTCACATCTTTGAAAATATGCAACTTCATATGTAGGGGACTTACTGTATAGCTGAATGAATGGTTGCTTTTCTGATTGTTTAAAGGCTAAAGCTGACAACAGATGGATCAAAATTCAGCCAGTTCAGCAGGGACCAGCCAAATTTCAATACATCTATGGCCATTCCTGTTCATGAGAAGTCGACTTCTCACAAACAGGTTTGTTGGAAAATATTTGTTTGGTTACAGCGCTGATAAGTGTATTCTGACAGTGGAGGAATCCTTGCTGTCAGAATACAATGGAGCAGCAGAGAGGATTCCTCCAGCCATTGCGATTGTGTGGAGGGGGTAACAGTGTGGATAAGGCTGATCAAAAAAGCAGAACTATGTATGCTCAGCTTAAGCCCACCCTTTGTGACTGTGTTTTACGCTACGTATTTAAGGTGTAACGTGAAACACAGTTACATTCCCCAGACCCCAACCCACGTACCCAAATCGTGGTTCTTTTTCCCTGCAGAGCTCTATATTCCTTTGAATTCAGCATGGCCGTGTGTGGCTCCACCAAAAAAGTTGCTTCTTGCAGTCACAGATTCAGTCATAGGGATCTGTGAATGGAGGGCTACAAGTCCCATCTACTCATGGATCTCAATAGAGTACAAGTGTGATGCCTTCACCACACTTGTAGCCTATTAATTATTTCCTCCAGCCCTATAATGCTAGGTCCATACCTCCATGTGTCTACACAGAGACGGAGTCTACAGGAGCTAATGCATTGCACTCATAGTGCACTATGTTTGCAATGCTGTGCAGACTCCAAAGCAAAAAAATTAGCAAAAGCACCTTTTTTCTTTGTCAGTCTGGGTACATTATCTTTTTTTTCAAATAGGGGAATATGCAATCTATTGAATATAAGAAAGAGCTACAGATCACACATTTCAAAGTAAAGTCAACCCATAACAGCCATTTTTTTTATCCTGAAATTGATTTTTGACTCACCTGCTGTGATGGATTACTGTACTTTGTATGTCATCCTTGCTCTTTCTACTGTCTTATTGAATGAACCCCTGTTTTTCAGCAGCTATCCAGATTATTCTGAGTGAGTCTATTCACATTTCTATTTTTGGGTCTGCGAGGGTCCATTTACACATTAATGTTGTATTTCGCTCAGCATTCCATTTAGCATTTTAATGCTTGGGCTTTTCTGATTTCTTGCACGTTTTCCCGCTGCAGTACAGAGAATATGTTAAAAAGGCCCTCAGGAAAAGCCTCGCAGGAGAATTTTTGTTTAATTTTTTATAGGTTTTTTTTTTTTTTGGTGTTTGCATGTGTAAAATGCTAATGAAAAATACATAGGTGTGAATGGACCTCAGCTAACTGCATCCATCCAAGATGAGCTGTTCATTCAGGATTAACTCCTTCCTTCCAGCAGACATGTCACGCTCTTTAGATTTGTAGAGAGATCAGTACTGCTTGGCACAGCTCATCCCCGTTGAAGCGTCTAGAAAATAAACATGTTTTCGTTCCACATTTAAAGCTCCCACAATTACACTAAATTGTGTAATAACACAGTTGCTGTTATTTTTATTGTTTTTTAAATGAGATGCTAGTAGCGAGTCTTTTTTTAATTGAAACGGGCTTGCGAGTACGCGCATGCTCTAGTGCATTGGCTGGATGTAAATTGCCATCCTTTTGCCGCACATCCCTTCTGAAATGAGCTGAGCATTAGGGGATGCAGCATTCAGAAGCCTCCAACGCCTTTTATGTTGCTATCAGCAGGTTCTTTAATGGTTTTATAACTGCAAATGCTGGCATTGCATTGCTGAGTGGGAGTAATGAGCATTACTTGAAAGAGGCACATAAAAAATCTAGGAAGAAAAAGCAAACAGTAAAAGTTTGTGCGTTTTTCCTCTCTGTTTTCACAGCCGACTAGAAAATAAATTGTGAAACAATGGCCTTCCTTTTGTTTTAGGTTAATAAGAATAAGAAATGGCGAGAGCTAGCGACCAATCTAAATGTTGGCACGTCTAGCAGCGCAGCAAGCTCTCTGAAAAAGCAGTATATCCAGTACCTGTTTGCCTTTGAATGCAAGATAGAGAGAGGGGAGGAGCCACCTCCTGAGATCTTCAATCCTGGCGAGTCGAAGAAACAGCCTAAGATTCAGCCGCCATCTCCTGGTAAGTGGGGATAATTACATGCCGTGATTTACGGAGAGATTGTCCTACTGAGCTCATGGTGGTAATTTAATATAGGGTACAAGTAAGCATTGAAAGAAAACTGTGAAACTATTTGTATTTATTTTTGAGTTTTTTTTTTTTTTTACTTTTATGTATTTTTTTTCAATCTTCCCTTCTTGAAGAATTATCATTTGCTCAGCTTTGGATTAAAACAGCCTGATGGATTTGTGCAACCACAAAAATCCAAAAAAAACCCATTTATACCAGAGTGCAATGCTCCACAGCACACAAGTTTCCATGCATTGAGGGACATTGTGGCACGTTGGGTTAGGCAGCCCATTCAAAATTGTATGCTCTTTACATGTAAAAAATTGGTACTGCCCTGTTTTTTGCAGTGCATCACTGTGCTCTGTGATGCAGCTGCATTCTGGACATGCATTGGGATGCCAACCAGAAGGAATGGCCTGGAAACATTGGCAGCACAGTGACATAGTGGTTAGCACTCCTGCCTTGAAGCACTAGAGTCCTTGTTTTGAGTTGCAAACCGCATATTACTGCATGTTCTCCTTGTGCCTGCATGGGTTTCCTCCAGGTATTCTGGTTTCCTTCCACACTCCAAAGAGATGCAGGTAAGTTAATTGGCTCCTGTCTAAATTGGCCCGTGTATGTGTGTGTATGCATGTAAAATAGGGATTGTAAGCTTCCTGATGGCAGGTTTTGTTGTGAATGTGCAATTTGTATAGCAGTGCCTAAATTGTTATTATATAAATACCTACAATAAAAAACATGCTAACGTGCATGGTTGGCCAGCCTTACTGTACAATACTGCAGTACAGTAGTATAAATGAACCCTGGAATTACAATAATCACTTTTTAAAGTAAACCTGTCATAGGAGGTTGCCATTGCTGGAAATTCTAGTTGCTTTGCTTTTAATTCTGACTTACTGGCTGCAGTATTTTCACTGAACAATGTACAGATAGGGAAATAGAGTAAAGTCCGAAACCCTTATCTGCGTGTTGATTCCAGGTCAGTGATTCACAAATATTAAAGTAGGAGAGTCAATAGTAGCCAGGCTGTACTGCTTTTCAATACGATGGCTTCAAAATCCTGTTGTGCACAGCAACTGAGCTAGTGCTGAAGTAGTAAACCATATTGTTTCAAGGTCCACTTTCATTTGGTTAAAAGGAAACTATACATTGTAATTATAAAATTATATGTAATTATGGGTTTATTTGGTAAATTGACAAGATCAGTTATGCTATACGATGTTTCATAGCAACCAATCAGATTCCAGTTTACTGAAGAAAATAAAAATCCCTTGCAGTAAGCACCCCCATCCTTGTACTGCAATGGCTAAATTTTATTTATTTATTACAGGTATGTATATAGTGCCATCAATTTACACAGTGCTTTATGTATTGTACAGTAACATCAGTCCCTGCCCAAGGAGCTTAAAATCTAAAGTCCCTAACTCACATTAATACATACACATACAAGGGCCAATTTAGACAGGAGCCAATGTTTTTGGAGTGTGGGAGGAAACCTGAGTACCCGTGCAAACCCTAGACAGGTAGTGCCGTGGTTGGGAGCTAAATGCTCATTTATGCCTAGGGTACCTGTAAAAAGGACTTGTAAGGCTAGTTAACACCTGCAACAGCCATTGCCATGCCTCATAAAAGTAGCTCCCATTTGCCGCAAGGCCCCATTCACTTGGGTCACATTTGACAGTGGTACTACTTGGGAGTATAATTTCTGCCACAGCATGTGTACAGCCCTGAGCGGTACTCTACAGTTAAGCTCATGATGGAGTGATGGTGGAATAGATTATGCACTGGATGCCTCAATAAACTTATATGCAAGGCTTTAAAAATGGAGAGCAGCTTCTCTTTTTATTTTCCTCAATGTGAAGTCTATGAAGCAGCTAGCGACCACTGGAAGCCTGCCAAAGGAGTGAGGGGTATGTGAACCTGCAGTAGAGCAATGCAGCTTGTAGCTCACTTGTGGGGTCGCAGTTCTATTTTCAGGTGGGAGGGTGGGGAAGTGGAGCTCAAACGCCTGTTTTTATGGCCGCCCGTGTAAAAGAGGCCTTACTTAAACCAACACTCGTTCAGGCTCCCTCCATGCTATAAGAGTAGTCACCGCAGCCTTTTCTCTAATGCACTCTGGCAGTCTCAGGCACTTGAACATTATCAAGCACAATGAAGGGCCAAAAGCCCTGCATTGTAAGTGCAGACTTCAAAGACCTCCCAAAATCCTGAGCATTGTGGGCAGCGGGAGAGTGGCGGCTGTCAGGAAAGCAAGGGAAAAGATAAGTAAACTTTTTCTTTTTTTTTTTTTTTTTTTACTGTACCTGAGGCATAAATGAGCCTTTAGCCCTTGTAGTGTGGGGTAGTCCCACTGCAAGGGAGGATATTTATTTTCTCTTGAGTTCAGTTTTTAAGTCTTATTATATTATACAGAATTTATATAGCGCCAACAGTTTGCTCAGCGCTTTACAATATAACAGGAGACAATACAGCAACAATACAGTTTAATACAAGAGGGTTAGGAGGGCCCCTGCTCCTTGGAGCTTACAATCTAAGTCATCCAAAGATTTATACTGATTATTTATTTCAGGTACTTATATAGCGCCATCCATTTACGCGGCGCTTTACATATGTATTGTACATTCACATCAGTCCCTAACCCTCAAGGGGTGTACAATCTAAGGTCCCTAACTTTCATTCATACATACACATACTAGGACCAATTTAGACAGGAGCCAATTAACCTACCAGCATGTCTTTGGAGTGTGGGAGGAAACCGGAGTACCCGGAGGAAACCCACGCAGGCACAGTGAGAACATGCAAACTCCAGGCAGCTGGTGCCGTGGTTGGGAACGCATTGTTCAGTTTGTAACAACCAGCACTTCTGTGTTTTATGTTAATTCCTGAAAATGTTTGTGGGAATTGTAAATGTTCATATAGTAGAACTACTGACAGATAAGTGATCTAACTACTGATGCACTTTTATCAAGAATTAATCTATTCGGTAAAACAGCAGAGAGAGAGAGAGACTGAATATATTACAAAAACATGTCCAGACTGTTAAAATTTGCTTTTTATGTAATTAGCACTTTGGTGCCAAAATTGTTTTGTTTACTTAACTTTTTGTTTATCTGTCAAATGATGCTTTTAAATATTTAACTGAAATTGGTAGAGTACCTAACGAGCATATTATCTATATGTTGTTTTTCCAAAATATAATTTATGCTGCTTTTCCTATTTTAGCTTTGTGATTTTTTTTTTTTTTTTTGGGGGTTCTTGGCTTGACTTGTGCTTTTTCTGAATATATTTTTGGTTTTAAATACTTCTAGGATGCCTCTTGTTAGAGAAGGAAACGCATAGTAACCACACAGCAATATCTATCTGAAATTCGACTTAATATATGAGGGCGATTTACGGTTGACTTAGTTTGCCCTTCCAGTCCTCCAGCATATGTTTGCAGTATTGATGGTCACAGGGGCGGACTGACAACTCATGGGGCCCCCGGGCAATAGGGGATCATGGGGCCCCTGTGTCCTTGCTCACACTCAAAGCACACCCAAAAAAGCCTATAAAAGGTACCAGGGGCGTTTCATGGGGCCCCCTACTGACCCTGGGCCCTCAGGCAGTGCCCGAGTACCCGAATGGTCAGTCTGCCCCTGGATGGTCATACCTACCAGGGTGAATAAAACCTCATGCACTTTCAGCATAGTTGCCATCACCCTATTACATAACTGTAGCTGTCCCTTTCTAAACAGTGCTCTAAAGCTATTGTTTTTGCTGTTTAGATTTTATTTATTTATTATAGGTACTTATATTGCGCCGTCAATTTAAGAGATACTAGTCATTATTTGAGTCATTGCTGCCAGTCCTGTTTGCTGCTGCATGGTTTTAGATGTGTGATAATAGGCTGGGACTGTTGCATTTGTGACCATAAAGACTGGTTGTATCACTTTTAGAACGTGTTAACATTTTTGCGCATGTTGCATTGCATGGCCATTTTTTCTCAGTGGCCCTTAACATGCATTATCAGACCAACAAATGCACCATAGTTAGACTTTTTCAATACATGCATCATCTTGTAGAGTTTTGAGAAAAAAAAATAATGGTCAGGTCTGCTCGTCGTCAGTCCCTGTATGCGCGATAGGGCAACATGCATATACTGAATACTATGTGCAATTGTCCATGTGATCTAAAGGACAATAGTGGTATATGGTATTTTTTGCACTGGCTGTAGGAGACTATGCTTTGCTATGGTTTAAATCAATGTATTTTAAAATCTTACATCTGATATCAAGTTCACAAAAACATTTAGTCAGTACTTTGTTAAAATCATTTTTTTGTGCTCACACGCATATTGGAATGTGTGTTTATTTCAGTCTTGGTATGAAATTGTGCCCAAGAATGTGTGATGTGTTATGGCAAAAAAGATAGAAATGGTTTGCTGTTAAATGTTTTTGAAAATGAAACTAGGTAGAGTTCATGTTGGTCAAAGTTGTCACTGTGAGCACATTTGTGTACGGTTTATAACTATACTAATTGCTCTAGCAGCCTGTCACATTGTAATGCTTGCATTTTTTTTATGCCAATGGTGTATGCTTTTTAGATTAATATGTTCACTTTAAAGGATAAATGCAGACAAAGTACACTTATTATATGTGTCCCCTCACCACCCCCAAATTAGATGTGTACTTACCTGCATTCCATAGCCCATTTTTTTTAAAGTATATTTTGCGCTGACCTCACTTGTTCTTTTTTGCTCTGACCCAATTGATGTCCTTAGACGTCTGTGGGGATTTTCTGTGAGATGCTCCTGAAACTGTCCCAAGAAAATTGTCTGAACAGGCATTGCAAACACAAAGAAAAGTTTCCAAATGGTTATTAACATTGTGGTTGTCCTTGGCTGTAGGGTGGGGGTAAGTATACATTTTTGGAGTGTGGTGTAAGTTTGGTCAGGCAGGAGGATGGCACAAAGG